AACGGAAAGTGAAAATAAACAGAAAATAAAATAATTTAAAATATAATATACCCTAGACGTAATCTTACATAACTGAATAGACTGTTCCAAAATCAAAACAGAACCTTTACATAAACGTACGTTACGTAATTTATAAAGAGAAATCCACGTCCGGAGAAATGTAAAACCGAATTGACTCATTTGCGAGCCGCACATCCGGAACCGATACAATGGTGCCGAGTAAAAGCTGCTTGCGTAACACTTGTAACTGGTTGCGATCGTTTGATAAGTCACCTTACGCTAAACTTCATGGCTATGTTACGGAGTTGGTTTATTCTGTGAGTTTTGGTCCTGGCTTGGTCCTAGGAATATTGTTCGCATAGCACTGTGCGTGCTTTACGGAACTTCCTTAAAGATATATTTAGATTTATTATACAATAATCTCAGTCCCATTTAAGTACCAGCTTTTACGGTTTATCAGTTTTATAAAAGCTATAAACGCTACGGTCAATAAAGGTAATCCTCGTAAAACCATTAAACCCTCATAACCCATTTAGAGCGTTCCCGGAACCTCTTCGAAGATGAAACGCTTGCGCAATATATGATATTCGATACCCTTAACTTTCTCCGGACGTTACCGAATTCGTAATCAGGTTACGGTGAACGATTTTGCAATTTTATGACCCTATATTGATTCATTTTTTAATGAATACCTTCTGACTAAATTTGCATGCAAATAGGATGATTTAAATACAAAAGTATATCTGTCGAGCATAAAGTAGTAAAATATTTCAGACGTTTGTCTAGCTCAGAGTTCCCCAAACTTTTTGGTGTCGTAGACCCCTTGCTATGATTTTCCGTGTTGGGTAGACCCCCTACTTACTGATATTGATTTCCTGTAAATTTCAAAATGTATTGCGACCACAAAGCGAATACCAACATCCTACAACTTACACAATTTTATAAACATATATAATAATTTTTTTACTTCATAGGTACTTTTATAAATAATGTATATGTTTTGATATTATCAGATAGTATGATGTAAGTAAATAGGTACTATCAGTGTATGTGTTGAGATCGACTATCGTGGACCCCCATTTTCATTTCATGGAACCCCAAATTTTATTTCGCTGACGTAGACTCCTTGCAGGTTATCATAGACCCCTAGGGGTCGATATAGACCACTTTGGGAATCACTGGTCTAGCTTGTACACACGGGTATGAGGTTTTTTATTACGATGAGTAGCAGGTTGAGATATTTTTCTACCTGCGTCGCCCTGCATTTAAATAACATTTAAAAGGTTTGTCAATTAGCTTACATATGGTATTTGATGTTAGAATACCCAACTTATGGGCACCTTTCATATGCATTTGGTAAAAATTTTAACGTGCTCGAATAACCCAATTCAGCTCACGTTAATGAGATGTAGCCTGAATGATGAATGTGGAATTATAAAAAATATTAAGTTTTGCTTTTTATATTGCTTAGCATATTTAACTATTTACTGGTTTTAATAAGTAATTAACATGATATGTAAAAAATTTTTGGTCTGGAAGTAAAGAAAATAATCATACATACATTCTGATTTTGTCTGCATCTATGCACCTAGTGATAAACCTATTACTTCAGAGCCCGTATAAAATTTTGTATTTTTTAATATGCATATAATTAGAAACAATTTAAATATAATTTTTTCACTTTATAATATGACTTTAGTACTTTCAAATACAGCATCTGGTATATCCCAAACAGGATTTCAGTTTTAATATCTAAACATAAATTTTAAACTGGTCTAAGAATATTTTACGGCGATCTCTTTCAGTTATATGATATGTAAGCGAGAGTGAGTAGGGAATTAATTTTGTTGGAACACGCGACGATCGTAAAGGTCGACGGTACGTATCGCTTTCTATTCGTTACATGATATGCAAACTTGGCATCGGTTGATATATCGGCTTTTATGGAAAGTTGTCTAATGCCGCAGACTATTTTTATTTAAAAAAAACCTTCGCTTTTCAAGGTTTATTCAAGCTGGCTGGCGTTTTCTTTGGTTGATATTTTTGTAGTATTGATAAACTCTTTTTAAAATTAAGATTATTATGCACCCATGCAGATCCATGGCATGGCTTGTTTGCCTTTCTTTATTATGTATATATATTTTTAACGATTATAAATACAGTAAAATCCGTTTATTATGAGTCCGTCAATATTGACCAACCGATTATTATGACGTTATTACACTACGAAGTTCGGTTTTCATAAAAATTCTTTATAAAAAAGATATAATGACTTCCCTTACAGCGACATGTCGATTATTATGACGCTTATTATGATGTAATAACAATATTAATAATAATTATATTTAGCTTTTGGCTGCTAATTGTATTAGCAATCGGTCGCGTAATTTTATAATTGTATTGAAATGTTTCTATATAACCTTTTCCTTCTCAATTTACCTACCTTTTTACCATTACCTATATAATCTTTCATCAAAGCTTGTTTGTATCACCTACATCAACTGTCGAAAGCCTTTTAAACTTTGTATGCCTTTATAGATACTTCATAGTGAATTTAAGAAACAAATACATACATTACATGAATAATATTACGAAGCACCCGTAGCTAGGTTTAATTGCATTTCAGTAATGTAGATGAGCAATGAATATGCGAATTTCTGATTCAGTTATAAATCGCATCACTCGCACTAATTACTTCGGCTACCGCAAGCGGCTAGCGGTCTTGTTTATTGCTATATTTGCATTTAAACATTGCGTTGTTAAATCTTAGTAAAAGCATGAAACATTTTTGGATAGGGTTAAAAAAAAATTTGTATTTGTAATAATTTCTTAGTAATTTGTGTTGTGCGATGTTTAAATCACAACCGATATTGAATAGACGTTGTAATAATTTCATATTTCCATTTAGTATGTTAGTAGTTTTGTTTTTGTTGTTTGTTAGTTTTCATGGGTTAGATACGAAAAGATCTGGTGTAGGTGTATGTTTGAAGAAATATTCCTTGTGTGTAACAGGGTTTATATTTAAAAAAGCAGTGGCGCTACAACTTTGGAAGGTCTGGGCTGGGCCACAGGTGATCGTATGTTTTTTTTTCTAATAAGCGATTAACGGAGGTCCATTGGTGATCAGCCTTCTCTGCCTGAAGCTATTAGGCCAACGCTGCTGAGCAGTTTCCATAAAAACCTTAAACAAAAAATCGTATTTGTAGTTTGCAGTTAAAAGTTATGAGAGTCGTAAATTTGTTTTCTGAATATTCGTTCCGTTCCCCTAACATAATTGGTATCTCGTCTCTCTAGAATACTTGAAAAATGGGTCAGCCGTTTGCGTGTTTCACCGTACTTGGACGGTAAACCTTTACGCTGTAACCTGGGCTTTTAAATGTAAGAATTATTTCTAAATATTATATTTTTTTAGCGTTATTATTAAAAGTGTCTATAAGAAAAGCCCATCCTGACAACATATAAAAATATATGTTTAATAATGTCTAAACTTCAATTATTATATTATTCATTTGGTTTTAATATTCGATGATAATGCTTCTTAGTAATATCACTATAGTTTGAATAGTTACGTATATTGTGAAAGTTTGTAGCGGTTTCATTAGCGTAGACCATGTTTAATCAAACTGGGTAATTTTGTTAATGTTGTTAGCACTTAAACTTTCTAGCATTCGCTTGTGAAAATTAATTTAAATTGAATGAGTTAATAGATTGTTACTACTTAGTCGCAATTCTTTTCTGTCCGCTTTTGCTCCTAAATCAATTGTTAGCTACTGAAAGCTTGCTTGTTGTTTGCTAATGGATTACATAATTAATATTACCGTATTTTGTATGTGTGTATGTCAAATTGTTTATATAAGTTAAGGAGGGAAAAATACATAATAGAATAAGCCTAGTAGACTAATATTAATTAGGACGGTTGTCTGATGGAAACGTGCATCTTGTTCGTATATATTAAGTTTATTCTATAAAAAGTATCATTTTTTGTAATGAGAAATAAAGTTCTTTGAACGTTGACAACGTAACAAACAAATATACTGTCGTAATATTCATATGGGTACGATTTGGTACGTAATGATGAAAGTCAGATGGCATTAACGAGGTAGCATTTATGCATACGCTAAACAATATTGGAAACTACACGGCAATGAGACGTTGAAGTATGAAATTGATTTTTGTTACATTGACAATAAGACCTATTTTATCATGATAGATATTACGGTTATTAAAGTTTCATCGAGAGAGAGGCGTGAGTCAACTTCACTTTCACTAAGACCCTGCACCTAAAAGTGCATAGGTTTACTGAACTTACTCAGCAGTCAGCAGTTCAATTAACTTTAGAAATCAATGTTTTCTCAACATTAAGAGTAACTCCATCGGTTAAATATGGAATGGAATTATAGTAATGAAATACTGTCTATAACGACTGCTTAAAATAGCGAGTGCGAAAATTTATTTTAAATACATATTATTTTAAAACGCTCACGAACTGCTCGACAAATAAATTATTCTCACATTTTGATTTAACACTTGATTTATTATAATCTAGTTTTTAATTGTAGTTCTTTTGTTTTAGGTAAGTGCTGCAATTACGAACTACTTATTTGTTTGGTAAGTTAAGAAAATTGATGTAACAAATAACATGGAAACTAATTTTATTTTGTCGTATTTACTCGACGATGTCACGGCGTATAATTTTTTAGACCGCTAGGAAAGTAAACAACGGTTTAATTATCAAGCGATTAGGGCTGTAGAGCTTTCCTGTGCATCGATGCCGGCGATAGTTGCCTGGCTCGACGGCACTCCCACTCGGCAATTGCGGCCGCCTCGCGCTCATTCACTTTAGGTTTTAGTCTACAATCGACTGCCGCGGCGGACGTACGTGTCATTGCGCGCGCCTCCGATGTTAGTTTACGATTACGACATCGCGTTTCAACTCGAACTTTTACCGTGACAGTGAAAATAATTTTTTCGAATATGGGTTAAACGACCCCACCGACGAAATGAGTCCGGGCGAGCGCGCCGCCCTCGGGCGTCGCGAGCACCCTCGCCCTAACTATGCTGCCACCGCACCGGGATTTCCGCCACCATACTACCCGCCTTACGGAGTGCCGCATCCCAGCGCATGGCTAGGGGCTCCCCTTATATCCATGGCAGGTCGCACGCAACAACAGAGGAACACGCCTATTTCAAAGCTTGCCATGCACGCTCAGGGCGCTCCTCTTATCATACAAAATAGGCACGATCGACGAAAGTACACAACCGTTCCAGAACAGCGTAATCATCGGCCGCTCGGATATTCTGAACATAACATTACTAGAGACAATGGCGAAGTGTCTGAAGGATCTAGGCCACGAAATCAATTACAACAGTCGCGTTCGAATCGAACTGGACGTAATAATAATACAGACGCGGTCAGCGTGGCCAGCGATGAAAGTTCCGGCTCCACAAATTCAGAAACCATGTTGCCACGCATAATTAAACCTAGAAAACGGCGTAAAAAAGATAGAAAACCCAATAACATTGTCCCGCACGATATTTCCAACTCCGGACTAGAACTGGGTGAAGTTGATCATTGCGCTGGTACAAATATGGGATCGACGCCGCACGTTTACGAGGAATCTTATTGCAGAGAGGTGTCATTACCGTATCGTTTAGATGTGAAAGCACTAGGTTACCCGGATCCGGTGCCGGAGACTTATAAAGTTACTGCGTTGGGTGAGGCATTAGAGGCTACGCGTTTTGGTTTAACTGAGGCAGTTTCTCCCTCAGAATCTGCTGTGAGCTCGTGTCAGTGCCGATATTGTGATCCTGTCGGACAAATTTGGGATGCTGATTCCATTGCACACTTACTGGATGAAAGTTCAAGTGGCGATTTCCCACCTACAAAGTTAGAGGAGTCTATGAAGGTAGTAGGGCCCCTAGGAAGAAGAGGTGTTGACACTATTCTGCGACGTAGTTGGAGCGATCCATCAGCGCGAGTCCCTGAACGAAGGGAAATTAATAATATCGAAACTTTGTCGGCTCCTAACTTATATTCCTTGTTTCCACCATCAAAAAGAACTAGCTCCCCTGAGCCAAGGTCACCACTGGCCTTAGAAATATCATCGGAGATTGTCACCTCAATGAATGGACATCGTGACTTAGAAATAAAATTGTTTTCCACTTCGCCTCCGGCAATGAACTCTGAGCGCCGTTCTTTTTTCGACGATAACAGTGCAAGTGTTGTTAAAACATGTACGATAAAAGAAAATGAGCTAAACAGTGCAGTGGACAGTGAAAAAACAGTGTCTGGTGCGAACGGCGTTAAAAGTGACAATGTGGACAAGGGATGTTTGCCGGCGTACGTTACCGGCGAGACCTCTCGCAACGTTTGTGATCTAGCCTTAGTTTCTGCCTAAAGCCCTTGTGATCTTTGTATAAATAACAATAATTGGATGCGTGCTAAGTCCGGTGGGCTCTACGCTCGCCATTTGAGCTGGACTCAAATTGTCACAGCGAGAGGCATGCACGGAGCGTCTCACGACCCAATAAATTGAGATCTCCGTTTTTGTTTCCTGTAGATTTTATAATTAATTTATTCTTAATAATAGAGTAGGAAACGTACATGGAACTTTGTCTGGTCAGGTTAGAAATTATTATATAAGTGGGCTAAAATGTTTAGTTTTCTAAAGCTAGGTTGCCGTGACACGTGCGCAATTAGCGTTTCACACTACTGACACCGTTGTGCGAGTATTGCGGTTTCCCGCGGTTTTCTCCGCGCGCCGTTCCGGGCGGCGCTTCGTGCACATCAGTTCACACTGCTAATTACCTTCTCTGAGATTCTTGTGGCTTACTTTGTCTAGAAATTATTTTTACTGTTTAAGTCGTTTTCCGACTATAGCTAACCTATTTTTTCATAATATGTACTATCTATTTAAAAATTGAAGCATTTATTGAATATGCATCTTGTCAATGAAACTGTTTTCGTCATCGATATTCAATTCATCATCATTCACTCTTTATATTCGCATTTTAATACATAAATCTTACATTCCATAATAAATCTATATTGTTTTTCGATTATTTGACGTAGTCGGTTTAAATTTCACTAATATAATTAAGGTATAAATAGTTCTACGTTTCTTACATCTTCACACACATCACTCACTCAAATATAAGATAAAAATTTATTATACATATAAAATCATGTCCTAATTCCTATGAGGTAACTTCTCTCCTTTCGGGTCCAATGCTTTAAAGCCAGATGAAGTTCCATAATATGTAGATAATGTGGATATATTATAGAAATTATCGTTGTGTTTTACGCTCCATGGGAGTTCAATTCTATTTCAGCATCGCGTTGTTCGCTTATTGCTCGCGCGTGCGTGGGATACATTATCTTTTTTCTTTACCATAGGCTCGACGTAGACAGTTGTATCTGTTTAAAAATTCTAACCTATATATGTTTGTGGATTTATCACTCCTAACCGATATTCGTGATTTCTTTTTTTTATGATACTTTTACGTCGAACCATTTGAATGCGGAGTTGCGTTTTGCAATCGTAAGACTCAACGATACAATGTAATTTTAAAGAATAGGCTATGTTTAACTTACTGAGTGAATGCATTTTATACATGAAATTATATAGTTCTACGATTTTGTTTGTGTACGTCGTGAAGCACGAGTTTACACGCTTGCACACTATTTTTGTACAATAAAATACCATCATGCCCTTAATATTCGTTTTATTTCTGTTATTATACATCTCTCTGATTGAGACAAGATTTTCAAATACGATCTAGGTCCTATTACTTACTACCACTAGAATTGGATTCTCTCGTTTTAAAATTGATTTTTCTCGTTTAAAAACAGCTATAAAAACATGCATGCTATCGTGAAATTGAATATTTTAAGTAAAATTTAATGAGCCCATAAAGTAGAGAATTCTTGTTTTGTAAACAGTGTTGCTTATGTAACTATGTAAACAACTTTCAATTGTGGCCAAACACCATTGGTTACGCAGTCGCAGTGCTGTTACTAAGGTCGTGAAATCTCAAGTTACGTAATTATTTTATTAAAAATACAAAGGGCTTTTATAACTACTAAAATGGAGTTACGTTCTTAAAACGTGTCCCCGCGCATATTAAGATATGGTTTTTAATCCTGCAGAGAGTTAAAAATAAAAGCACATTACTTATTTGTCTATCTTTATGATTAACTTATTTAAAAAAATAAGAATGTTCTTCCCTTTTTTTCATAATTTAACATCCAACAGTACATTTATAGTTAAGTTTGTAATTGGTCTTAATATAATGTACTTTTTAATAATGAAACAATAACAAAGAGTGTTATTTAGATATCTGAAATAAATACCTAACTCACAAAAATCGAAGAGCTCCGAATTATTCTTAAGACAAAATAAAACAATATTTCTACACGAAAATATAGTTAATCTATTTGTTCAACGTATATTTACACAACTTTGTATCCGTCAAGGACAGTCTTGGTCAAAGTCATGAACGCTTGTTTGCTCTAATCGTTATTGTATTTGGTACATTATTCTTTAATCTTTCCTTATTTTCCTCTTAGAATTTTATATGGTTATTTCTTTTTAAGACAGAAATGATATCGGAGGGTTTGTTGTTTTTGAGTATTAGTTCATGGTAATATAGCAATCATTATTTATTAATTATTATTGTCTCACTTATACATTTATAAAATTACACGGTGAGTGATAATGACAAAAGTTTTAAAGCATTCTAGGCTCAAAATATTTGGTGTATTCAGCGCAGATGTTCCAATGATATGTATATTTTATCTATTTAATTTACGATTAGATTAACGTCACAAACCGATAAAATCTTTCAGTAAGCCGGTTTATGAACTTGTTTGTGAAATTCAGATCTCAATTCGTAAACGATTTCGACCTTCAGACGAATAACTTTTTTATTTGACCTTTCGATACAAGGACAAGATAATTTAACGCTTAGCTGGGATATTTCGATTATATTTGATGACTTTGAACGGTGTGAACGTATGAATGTTATCAGACTCGGTGCACTTCAACTCGTCGAGACATTGTAGTTAGGCCAGGACTACAAAACTAACGATTATTGTAATTTAGGACGAAACCTCAATCTTTAACCTCAGCTTCGTAACAATACAATAGTAGCAGGTGTTTTTATTCATCTCACGTTGTAGGTTCGCTTATATTACGTAAGGCAATTAAAAACAATTATACAAGTACCCGATGAGAGTATTTAATACCAATTTTGGCGTGGAAATAAGCTGTGCTCGTTATGCAACTCAACGGGGCTGATTTTTGAAATAATTTGAAATGGTTCTATGCCCATTTTGATTTTTAAATATTGGATTTGAAAACCACGTAAATAAGTTACGTTCAGTTCACTTGTAATACGCAAAAAGCTATGAATACGAGCGGTTTACTGAGCACGTGGCGACCTTGCGGCTAAGTATTATGTAAACATTAGGGAAAATTGTTTGAGAAACAACCTGCTACTGTTTAAACAAATCAATATTGATATATAAGATAGAACTTTGTCTATTTTACAACGTTAAAGTAATTTGTATGTATAATGAATGAAGTTTAGTTAGTTTAAATGTGGCCTCTTAATTTTTCCACTGATTATATTATATTGTAGCTGTGTTGATTTAGGTTTGAGCGCGCGACTCTTATCGAGTTTCTGTCTATGTGCGCATATAATACTCGCTAGTACTGTGAAGGAAAACGTAGTGAGAAAACCAGAAATAGGATGACAAAAGAATGTCTATGAAATAAAAATGATCAAAGAAACTGATGCACTCTGAGGCCAAGCCCCATATAGGGGTAGCGCCACTGGGTCATTATTATTCTATCATGTATTAATGGTAGGTAGGGTTAAGATATGATGCAAGCATGAGTCATTTTGTTACTTATTGATTCAGGAAGGAATAAGCGCCTAATCGGATATTTGTAAGTTTTTAAGGATTTTGATATTTATTTAAAATACTAGGTAATAGTAGAAAGCGAGCATAGGGTAAGTCTTACACATCTTAAATGTAGTGTGTGAATTATTACAATCAATAAGATATTTAAAATTATTTCACATAAATATAAGTAGTTAATAAAATCAAATAATTGAAAAAAAGGTCCCGTCCACGTCATAAAATATTTGTCGATTGCTAAGATGTCCGCTAAAATAACCGGTGATATTGTCTGTTGACCTCCTTGCTTAGATACGCAGATAATAAATTACAAATTTGTGTCGCTGATTCAAGTTTAATATATTAGGTGTGTGAAGTTTTTGCATTAAAATCCTTGTGTTTATATTATTGCTTCAACTTGTAAAGGTCTACGGAGACGATTCAGCGTGTGATTCTGGCAGCGTATAATTAATTAAGTTAATAGGCTACTTCGTTGACGTTAGTTACACTGATTCCGGAAATAATTCCGGAAAATTCTCAATAAATAATAAATATTTATCATTGTGATTTGGATAGGATAGAACTTTTATTTTTATAGTTTTTAAAACATGATACCTGTGCATTTCTAGGCGTGATTTTGATCAAACAAGCTCGTAGCATCAGACTGCCTTTCACTGTATGTTCGTGAACTGTATGAAAATCCGTTCAGATGTTACAGAGATTAAATGCTAAGCAAACGAATATGTAATAAACGTATACTGTATGTCTACTTTTCTGTCCCTTATAATTTCTACTCACATATATATCAAACTCACTAAAGCTTTAATTAATGAGTAATGACTCTATTAATCTGCGTCGCTATTTTTGTTTGGCCCATTAAAATATTGGTATTCGGCCTTTGTTAGCAACGTCATACACTTAAAATATTTTCTTAGATGCTTCAAGCTTAAATATAGGCTTAAAAGCCTAGAAAATTGGAGACAGGTTTATTCTTAGAATGTCTAAATGCAGCCAGGGTTAGTTTTCACGGGAGGCAGGGAAAGCGGTGTTTCCGTTCTTAAGTTTCACCGGAGCTTTCACTTGCGAAGACAGTTGCGCTTAGCGATAATAAACTCGAATTACACGCGTGTTACCCATGCATTGTTATAGTAATCGAACTGGTAATTTATATATTGTATTGTAGAGGTGCTACTGGAGCGTATTGAAATTTTATAAATTTCGATGCAAAGAGATAAGTTAATTTAATTTTTTTACTAAAACGATAAAAAATATGTTGATGCTTTACATAAAACATTTAGGCATATAGTACGCAACTGGAAGTCTAAAAGTTTATTTTATGTTTAAATGTATATTTGTATAAGAAAGATGTGTGTGTGTAATGGATTAGTTTGTTCGTTATGAGTTTTTTACCAGTGCCAGTAATCAGCTCATCTCTCGATAGTTTTAATTTATTAAAAATGCGCACAAACACAAAGAAATATAGTCTTATATACA